AAAAATAATAATAATAATAATTATTATTATTATTATTATTATTATTATTTTTATTATTATCATTATCATTATTATAATTATTATTATTATTACTATAATTATAATAATAATTATAATAATAATATGAACAGTGATGAAAAGTAATATATATTTATTCATCATTTTGATTTATTTAAAATAAAATTCTAATTTAATAATTTTTTAATTAATGTGCTACATAATTTGCATATAGAAATATTATGATAAACAGCATTATAGAAGTGATAATAACATATTTTTGAATTCAGTTATTAAGTCAATTTTCATTTCCACTTTTTTTTTTCTTTTTTTGGCAATTTACTATAAATTAGATTAATCATTTTAACAACAATTAAGTACTATCATTAATATTCACAAATATTACTTCTCATTAAGCTTATAAAAATAATTCATTTAATTATATTATAATCAATTTAACTTAATTATAATACGATTAACTTAGCTAATTGAAAAAGCATTTAGCTTAAATATTTAAGCATAGCTTAATTTATCGTAATAAAATTCTCCGATTTTCATTGAACTTTTAGAAATACATTTGTCTCGTTATGTGTATTAGTAATCCCTAATTATTTCATTTTTCCAATTTTTTCTTTTTACACTCATCATCAATTAATCATTCCTCTTATAAGTAAACTATGATTGATTAAATTACCATAAGATTAACTGATTAAATTATCGTTAGATTAATTAATTGATTTGTCACAAGATTAATTGATTAAATTACCGTTGGATTAATTAATTAATTTGTCACAAGATTAACTGATTAAATTACCGTTAGATTAATTTAGCCTAATACTGCACATATAAACCTGAGCCTTTCATTACATTAAAATCATAAAATACAATATTCTTAATTAAAATAATATTTCATGTTAGGAACAAAAAACTAACACGTATCAATCCGTCATAGTAGCCAATTGCTATTCGATCATTATTACCAAAACGTGTTATTGTTGGAGCGTATAATTCGGATGAGGATAATACCTAAAAATAATTAATTAATTAGTGTGAAGAGAGAAAAAAAAACAAAGAAAACAATGATTAAAACAAAGATCTAATAGAAATTCGAAATATTACCTAAACAAAGAAAATTTATTTTATAGTACAAAAATAATGTTAATAAGTGATTAATTAATAAATAATATTCATTTTTAAACAATAAGTGATGAATTTGTTTTCCATTATTTTTGTTAATTACAAAACAAATTTATTATGAAATTCCATGATAATGAATAAATTCTAGAAAGAACTTTTCTTAAAAAACTAGAATCATCATGAATATGCTAGCTAAGTACAAGCTGGAATCGTCCTGAATATTCTAACTAGCTACAAATTGGAATCGTCCGGAATATTCTAGCTAGTTACAAACTGGAATCGTCCGGAATATTCTAACTAAGTACAAGCTAGAATTATTCTGAATATTCTAGTTAATTAAAAGCAAGAATCATCTTGAATATTCTAGGTAAGTGCAAGTTTGAATTATCCTGTAGTTAATAAATACAGTTTTGGCACGACTTAGAATCATTGTGAAGGTTCTCATTTATGAAGTAGATCTTTGTGATTAGATAGTTCAATATCAACATTTAATAGTTTGTAAATTGCAAGATAAGCACAACTAAATGATTAAGATTAGATAAATGATAATACTAACCAGTTAAAGTAAATGATTAAGATTAGATAGATGATAATATTAGCCATTTCAAGTAAATGATTTAGATTGGATAGATGATAATATTAGCCATTTGAAGTAAATGATTAAGATACATGATAATATCAGCCATTCGAAATAAATGATTAAGATTAGATAGATGACAATATTAGCCATTTGAAGTAAATGATTAAGATACATGATAATATCAGCCATTCGAAATAAATGATTAAGATTAGATAGATGACAATATTAGCCATTTGAAGTAAATGATTAAGA